AAGCAAAAATGACTAATAGGAGAGAATGCTTAACTAAGATTGTGCTATATGCACATAATATAATGTCATAATTGCAAGTAATTCCAAGTAATATCCTGGAGTCCTGTGATCCACTTCCAATGTTACTTGGCCAACTGTGCCGAGAATTCACTACTAGAGAACAAGGATGAGATGCCGCTTGAGCTCTCACAAAGAAATAAGTATTTATGAAGAAACTTAATAGGAAATTTAAAGGTCCTATACAAAAAAATACTGTTTACTAGATGTGCTGGAAGGATAGTCAAGTTAAGCATTTGTCTTTCACATGGCAGTCTCTAGTTGTTTTTTTTTTTTTTGATGTCTCACATGGTCCCTTGAGAATCCCTAGGAGTGATCCCTAAGAAAAGAGTCAGGAATAAGAGTGAACACAGCCAGGTGTGATCCACTGAGAGTAACCTAGAAAAGCGCAAAAATTAAATATTTTTGTAATTATTGGATTAGAAAATTAGCATTGTTAACATGCAATTCATGGGTTCACTTCATTCATTGCCATAACCCCAGTTTTTTTTCAAGAAATTGAATAAATGTTACTGAAATTTACATTACAACAATAAAAGAAGCCAATTTACTGAAGCAGTACCAGGATGAAAAAAAAAGTAGGTTATTGGAGACATTATTTTCCTAACTCCACAACAAAGTGATGGTAAAGAAAACGTTATGGTATTGGAAACCAAAACACACAAGGATCAATGAACTAGAATTAGAAGTTTGTAAATAAATCAACACATATTTGAGGAATTAATTTGACAATAAATTAAGGAAAATAATAAATAATGCTTGGAACTTGGCTATCAACCTGCAGAAGAGTAAAAATAGAAGGCCAGAGAGATAGTGCAGGAATTGCATACTTTGCATGTGACTGACCGAAATTTCATCCCTAACACTTCATGGTCTGCCAGACATTTCTGATTTTGACTCTAGAGGCCCTCGAGCATCACTATGGCCATGGATACCAGGAAAATTGCGAGGATGGCCCTCAGGATCAAGCACCACTGCATCCTTGGGACTTAATATTGAATTATAGTTCCAAATGGCTTTGAATTGCTGGCAATGGTTCTAGCAATTGAAAATACACTGTATTTCAAAATACAGGAATTCTTATACACTGTAGCACTATCCTCCCATTGTTCATCAGTTTGCTCAAGTGGGTACCAGTAATGTCTCCATTGTGAGACTTGTTGTTACTGTTTTTGGCATATTGAATACATCACTGGTAGCTTGCCAGGCTTTGCTGGGCGGAATACTCTCGGTAGCTTGCCAGGCTCTCCCAGATGGGCAGAGGCAGACCTTATGAGCATTAATAAAACTATACTACTACTAGGACAGCATCTAAAATTTTTCTGCATGATGAAAAAGAACTCAATCAAAAAAAAAACACAGAATGCATAGCATTTAAAAAAAATACAAATAACCCCATCAAAAAATACAAAAGATACAGTGGGTAGGGCGTTTGCCTTGCACACAGCCAACCCGGGTTCGATTCCCAGCATCCCAGATGGTCCCCTGAGCACTGCCAGGAGTAACTCCTGAGTGCAGAGCCAGGAGGGAGTAACCCCTGTGCATTGCCAGGTGTGACCCAAAAAGCAAAAAAATAAAAATAAAAAAAATACGAAAGAGAGGTGAATGGACACTTCTAAAGAATACCAATCATATGCAAATGGCCATAGACAATTGAAAATAAAATCTATTGTCCTGATTATCCGGTAAATACCATGAATTACCACCTCATACCAGCTAAAATGACATTTCACAAAGTTCATAAACAACAAGTGATAGTGAGGTTGTAGAGAAAAAAACAGAATGCCATATACTGTTGGTGAGAATGCATGGTAGGCCAGTCTCCTTGAAATTATGTTTGGAGGTTCTTCAAGAAGTGAAGAATATACTTGCCTTATGTACCAGCAATGTCACTGATAGGTATCTACCTGAATATGAGCCACAAATTTATTTCTGTGTATATTGCAGCAGTATTTATAGTAACCAAACTATAGGAACAACCAAAGTGTACAACTAAGGCATAATGATGTGCTATTGAACTATATGAGACAAAATTTTGAGACCACAAATATTGCTCAACGGTAGAGCATTGGTATTGTGTGTTTGTGTGTGTGTATGTGTGTTTCCTGGGTTCAAGCCCCAGCACAACAAAACAAAACAAAACAAAAAACACACAAAAACATATTTTAAATCTTCTACATGGATGGAGTTGGTGTGTATAATAACAAAATAAATAAATAAGTAAATTTCAACAAACAAAATAAATCGGAAAGAGAAAGACAACTGCCAGATGATCTCACTTGTGTATGGAATATTAAAAAAAAAAGTCAAGGAAACATGAATAAAGAACATGCTGATATCTGGATTTGGATTGGAAAATTGAAGTTTTACCCATGTGCAGAAGGGACAATAGGGAAGGACCTTATGTAAGATAGGGCAGAAGGAATTTTCACACTTTGTTGATATGTTTATTTCTCTGCCCCTCTCAGGGAGCCCAGCAAGCTACCAAGAGTATCTCGCCCACACGGCAGAGCCTGGCAAGCTACCCGTGATGTATTCGATATGCCAAACACAGTAACAACAAAGTCTCCAATGGAGATGTTACTGGGCCCACTCGAGCAAATCGATGAACAACGAGAGGACAGTGACAGTGACAGTGACAGTTGATATGTTTGATGTAAAAAAAGTAAAAGATTAAAAGAAGATATGTGCACTGATGAATACACTATTGTTTGCACTTAAATATTTATATTTATTTAAATGTTTGTAGACAATATATGCAGCAGTTATATTTAATAATGAATTTTTAAGTTGATAGTTGTAGCACTCTAGGTGAATTTTATTGTTTCTTTGTGTTCCCCACTTAAAAACTCTAGGATTAATTAAAACTTAAAATTTTGGTACTATTACTTTCATTTATTAGAAAATTAATATATATATATTTGACTGTAGTACTTATTAACTTGAAGGATACATTTGTAGCATAGATATGTACAGCATTACAATGGCAAAAGTAAATTTTGGAAAGTAGTATTTAACTTGTAAGGGCCTAGAAAGAACTCTAAAAAAAATGGGAGTCAATCTGTTAAACCACTAACATCGAAGTATGATGCTCATAATGAAATATATGTTATTATTTTTATATTTATTTCAAGAATTATTGTAAATATTGAATTGAAAAATAATATTTAGATGGATTCTCAAAGAAGTGCCCTGGTGTATGCAAACGTATAAATACATATATACACATGAAGACATATCTAAAATTAAAGATACATAACTAGTAAGAACGTGAAGATCATAAAAGGGAATAAAGAAGATTAATAATAAAAATAATTCTTTGGGGGTCAAAATGATCAAACAGCAGGTAGAGTGTTTGCCTTGCATGTGACTTAATCAGTTTTGCTCTCAGCAACACACAGCGATGCAGGGGAGGCAGAAGTGGTGGGTCTCAATGTTCATTTGCGATTCCCAGGTTCTTCAATATTTTCAAGAATGAAAATATTGAATAATAAAGATGCTCAGACTCAGAGTAGGAAAGTACAAAAGTTCATTGGAAAATAGAAGAGAAAAGAAAAGGACCCCCCAAGTGGGAAGGACTAAGTTAATTATGGCTCTTTTCGTGAGTTTTTTTTTTTATAGGAAATCTTTGTCTTTGTGTTACAGAAAATGCACGGAATCTACATGGTGGTTGGGCTGGTTTTCTTTCTATTCACCTGTCTCGGGTATTGTTCGTTATCTTAGTCTTGTGACTCCTAGTTTTGTGGCAGAAAAGTAGGGAATTCCTGGCGCATTCCAGGAATGTCAAAGATCGGGCCTTGAAGATGAAGTGTGGAAGTTTGATGGGGAGAAATAGAAATTCTGGCTAGTGGGGAAACTGTGGGCTTCCCTCTTGTTGGCAAGGGGAAACTGAGGCTTCCTCTTTCATTCGGGATTCCTGTGCCCTGCCAAGAGTGTTTCCTGAGCACAAGGCCAAGAGTTTGCCCTGATAACCCAAAAACCTAACAATAGTAGCTGAAGCAATACTGTAATAGGTAGGGTGCTTATCTTACGTGCAGCCAACACAGATTTGAATCCTGGCTTCCCATGACCCTTGAGATTCTATAGTATTAATACCTGAACACAGTTCCAGGAGTAAGCCCTGAGTACCAGGGATGTGGTCCCAAAATGAACAAACAAAAAAAGAACAAAAAATAATCATTTGTATTTCTACATAATTAGAGTGGGCTGGAGCGATAGCACAGAGGTTAAGGCGTTTGCCTTGCAAGCGGCCAACATAATTAGAGTATTATTTAGTGTAGTTTAATAGTTATTTAAGGTATCTTGATTTACAACGTTTCGTGGTTGAGTTAAAAGTGTATGATGGTTTTGGCACATTGTGAGCATTAGAAGTTTAAAACATAATTGACTAATATAATGATGCAAGAACTTTGGATTTGAACCAGGAGGCCAAAGTTTTAATAATCACATTTCTACTTACCTGTCTGAGGTTGGACAAATCTCTGAATTTTCAGTAATTTTGAATTTCTCTGTAATAGATATGATAGAGTTGCTTTTGAAGATCAAAATAAAATCCATATAAAAAGCCTTTGGAATTTATAAAACATTGTGTGGATTTCAGGGATTACAGTAATAGAGATTTGAGGGGGGGGGAATTATTCAGAGATTTCAGAGAAATTTTCAGAGGATAAATAAGTCTGACGGAGAGAAATCTTTTGAGCTCATACATGAAGAAAATGTGCTGTGCTCCCTGAATTATGCGACTGCATACACTGGACCCTGAGCTGCTAATTTAGACTGTGCTCTTTCTCAACCAGGGCTTTAGGCCAGCCACAGACAAAACAGTAGTCAATTATAACATCAATAGGTATTAAACACATTAAAACTAGTAATTATTGTGTTATCTTAGTAAGAAATGCTAGTATTACAAGGAGATGTTCTCTTTATTTTTTTTCCCCCTGCAGGCAATGAATTTGGGCATCCTGAGTGGTTAGATTTTCCAAGGAAAGGAAATAATGAAAGTTACCATTATGCCAGAAGGCAGTTTAATTTAACTGATGATGACCTGCTTCGCTATAAGTTCCTAAATAACTTTGACAGGGATATGAATAAATTGGAAGAAAGATGTGGTTGGCTTTCAGCTCCACAGGTAAGCTCTTTACTCTAAATGTTATGTTTTAGTCACCAACGTTGTACATGCTTAGAATGGCAATCGCTTCAAATCTATATGCAGATCTTTTAAACAGCACTTTATTATTCAGTGTGTAGTGCCCTGCAACATACTCTAGGTTGTCAAAACATGTCACTGAAGTCTCTCCAGTAGATAATAAAAATCCCAAACGTAATAACCTTGCTTACTTTCCTGTCTAGCTTCTCGTTATTGTTGTTGTTTAAATTTAGTAATTTTTTTTATTTCAATTTGTTAAAATAAATGACAAAATCTCTGTGTGGACACCATTTTCAAAATTGCTGTGGAAACATCTTAATTATTTTGACTCTTTTTCTTTATGTAAATAATTATGCTGTCACAAAGAAACTATTTTTGCCAACATGGAGATTTCTTTATTTCTCTTTTCCCTACTTTTATTGGTCTCTAACTTGTCATTTCAGTAGATACCATTATACCTGCATGCTGATTTGTATTTTTCATGAGTCTTACTCTTCTCCGGAATTAAAGTCTCAGTTTTCAATAAGTTTTAGAAAATGTAATTAACAGGTGCAAATTTTATACAGGCATGTTTTTTTCTTTACAAAAATTAGCATATAGTATGTGTTACTTAGCATCCATTTGCTTTTTACTGGTGCTTTTTGAAAGCACTGATATGTTTATACTTTAATGTATTTTTTTAATGCTGAACAAAGGTATTTGTATATTCAGTAAGATTGGCTACATGACATGAATGCCCTAACCACATTTATTAGTAATGCTATTTCCAGAAAAGAGAGTAAAATGATGCTCCTTTTCAATAGTAACAATGTTGAATACCAAAAGGCATGCTGTTTACTCTAGAGTCTTGGTTGTGTTTCTAAATTACCAGGAATGGCAAAGCTGATATGCACAAGAAATACCTGCTCCCCAGTGCTGGGCTACAGGAGGGTTGTATTGGAAAAGCAAAAACTTCTTACTGTCTGCTGTCAACCATGCTGTCAAAAATGAGACAGTTTGTAGGTTTTATAATTTCTTTACAGACCTCCTTTTATCAAGCAAAAAAAGAGAGAGTGTTAGAGAGAAAAAAAACAACCACAGGTGGTTGTTGGATTTGACAGTTGTATAATACTGTAAAGCTTTAAAAATAATTACAACTTTGAAAATCTTGATATGATATGAGTTGCTTTGTAGCATGAAAAATAATCATATGCTCTTTGTTATGCCTGAGTACTCAAATAAAAGTCTTAAAATTTAGTTATAATTACATCTAATATGAACATACTCACAACTGTTTACCTGGTTCAGTTACCATGTTTTTACCAAAATGTTGAGTCAAAGTATTTATCCTGTGCTTTGTGTAAAGTTGACAGGTGACTGGTGAAATTTTTTCTTTGGTTAAGAGTTTGTTCTGGTAAGATTGTAATAAGTTCAGTAAATTTCAGTAAATATAATGTGTGGCATTTTTCTTTTTTTCTTTTTGGACTTGGTAATAACAATTTTTTAAAGCAGATAATAGCACCTAGATATTATTCAAATGTAATGTGTTATGTAATTTAATGTTCTATGTGTTAACTCTTGCAGGCCTATGTGAGTGAAAAACATGAATCCGATAAGATTATTGCTTTTGAAAGAGCAGGTCTTCTTTTTATTTTCAATTTCCATCCAAACAAGAGCTATACTGATTACCGAGTTGGAACAGCAGTGCCAGGAAAATATCCTTTTTTGTTGCAGTTAATATTAGTTTCTGTGTTCAATTTTTATATGTCATAGAACACAGGAAAGGCTAATACTTATGTTGGTGACAGCACCTCTGAGTAGGCCTTTCTGAAAAATGAGGGACTTGAAGTAGTTGATCAATAAATCTTTGCTCTCTCGGTTTTACTGAATTAATCGTAAATTTTATCCTAGCTTTAAAAAAGTATGATTCTGAATATTTTTTAAATACCTATTATGGTCCAGTATGCAATACAGGAAACAAATGTAGTTTTCTTTTAGGAAAATATTCTTTGAGGAGGTCTTCACCGAGAGCTACGTTTACAGTAACAAAAACAGAGCTTTCCTTTCTCTTTTTTTCCTCTCCTAAAAGGCAGTATGTTGCTCACTCATGTAGGCCTGAATGGATAAGGAATCAGGACATGGGAGTTGGGAGCAAAGGAAATAACATGGAGAAGGTTTTGATGTTATCTGTGTATTCACTTACTCATTCACTTCACAGCAATTCACTGAGTATCTATTGATTGAACATCTGCATTCAGCCCTGTGCTTGGTTCTGTAAATATAGGTATTTCCTGGCATGTAAAGCCACAAGGCCTTGTGGCACTTTAAACTAGCAAAGAAGACAAATATTAGTGAAGGAATTTTGATAATTATTGTACAAAGCAAAGTGCATTGTGTTTTTAAAGAGTATGACTCTCCAGATTGACCAAAAAAAAAAAAAGACAGAATTGGGACCGACAATAAAAATCAGCACAAATCAGCACAGATTTGTAGGCAGGCAATAGGAATGCTGTGTTTCTGCCTAGAAACCATGAAAAATGACTAATGCTGGCTACCCTAGCAAGACACCTGAGTCCATCACAAGGTCCTAAGTGTCCTGGTCAGTGTAAGGGAAACCACCTTTTCAACTGGATGAAATGGTAAACAAAATGAAATTTTGCCACAAATGTAAAAACTATGAGGCAAGGTGAACCCAGAACTCACGACAACATATGTGATCCCAAACCTCACGATGACCAACTTCCCTGATTCATTTAGTGCTGCTTTCAGTGCTCAGGGATCAGCATGATGTAAAGGCTGGCACCAGCTATAGTCACAAGGCAATAGGCATGGTTACAATTAACACCTTCAGACAAAAGAAAAGGTAAACAGATTTTATTTTGTGTGGGCTGGAGCCATAGCACAGCGGTAGGGTGTTTGCCTTGCACACAGTCAGCCTCGCCGAGCCAGGTTCGATTCCTCCGCCCCTCTCGGAGAGCCTAGCAGGCTACTGAGAGTATCTCACCCACATGGCAAAGCCTGGCAAGCTCCCCATGACATATTCAATATGCCACACACAGTAACAACAAGTCTCAAAAAATGGAGACATTACTGGACCCGCTCGAGCAAATCAATGAACAATGGGAAAACAGTGTTTGACAGTTTTGCCAGTTTTCATGAATAAAGCCACTTGAACAAGTGTTCTTTCATTTTCCGTTGGTCATAATTTGTGCATATGTCCCTAGAGATTTCCTAGAAAGGTGACTGGTAACAAAAGGAGTGACTTAATCTGGTATTCTCCTGGAGTCTCCAGGAAGTCAGTTTCTTGGTGTAGTAATTAGAGCAAATGCTTTTCTGGCAGTAAGGAAAAAAGGGTTAGTTGTTGTCCCATAAGTGGTATGTGCATCTGCCACAACTCTGTACTGTCAGTGCTCTTGAAGGTTGTAAGATATCACTCTGTCTTTTCCCTACCTCTCAACTCACCATCTTGCGTGATGTCAGAACACGTAGGAGGCCATGAGAATTATCAGCATCTCAACTATGCTACAGTTAACACTGAAATAAGTTATACTTAATAGGGTTAACTGCACCAAAAAAGAACTGTACTGTCCCAAGAAATAAATATTTAAAACTATGAAAAAAACTACAGATAGATTAAATGAGTAGCAGTTTATATATGGCCCTTTTCAGTTCCAGACTGCTAATGTAATACCTGGACTCAATATTTTAGAGCATACTCTATACCTGAAACATTAATAATAAAAATTTATATAGAATCTAACCAAAATCACATATAGAACACTTGGGATCTGCTGAAGTCTGTGGTAACCACTGTCTTGGTCATAAGTGGTGTAGAAAAGAAGTTTAAAATAAAATAAAGTAGGATGTGCATTGTACTGTAATAAATGGGAAGGGATGGATATGTGATGTGGGGAAACAGGAAAAGGAAACAAAATGAATTAGAAGAGATCAATTTCTTTAAGAAAATTCTTTTAAGCCTGGATCTTGAAAGATTATAAAACTGTTGTTAAAAATATTGATGAAGTTAATTTTACCTATTGGAAGATATACAGGGTCCTTAGATAATGAATCTTACAGAGGATCAACTGGAGATGGACAACTTTTGAAAGTTATCTATGAGATAAAGCTCAAAAGATGAATTTGGATCACATAATGGCAGAGTTCACTGCCTTACTAATTATTTTAGTTTTTACATGAATTGCTGAGGGTTTTTAAGTTAGGGAGCTACTTTATAATATATAGGCCCAAGGAATAGTTCTCATTTACCAGTGAGTAGTAGAACTTTCATGAGGAATTAGAAGTACAGATACTAATCATGAGAAACTGCAATATACCTAGAAGATTATTAGGCCATGAACTAATAAAATTGTAATAGGTAGAAAGAGTTATGCGAATCCCTTTCTGAGAGAACTCAGCAATTGTTCGTACATGGCATGTGGAAGAGAAAATGCAAGGTTACTTGAACAATGGGAAGAATGTGTGTCGTTATTAATGAGTCAAGCAAAGTAAGGAGGAGCCCAACTTACGGAATAGAATAGCAAGTTTAATTTAGGATTGTTGGCAGTTGGGATGGCAAAGAATTTCAATGATCGTGGTTAGGATAAAGATCTAAATTCAGGCAACATTGATCTTCTATCTGAACTCTGTTTAGCTTTAGCAAATAGTATTAAATGAAAGGGTCTAATGATAAAATATGTCATTATAAGTAAAATCCTTCCCAAAATTACTTTTGTTTTTACTTAATGAAACAATGTTAATCTTCATGAAAGTCTAGTTTGGCTTTGAGAAATCTTCCACAGACTGCTCTGAAATTTAATTATGTGTCTATATCTCTGGACAGAAATTCTCTATTTTAATAAGTAGTGAATGTTTATCCCAGTGATGTCTTTCAGAAAACTGTACTCATTTAAAGCAGTGACAGACCCCTTGGAAAATAGGGCCATTTCTTTAGAACAAAAATAGATAAAGTTGCTGGATATCAAGGGAAACCTTTTAGAATTATTATTGCATTTTTAATTACAAATGCTTCGTCTTCTACTTGTATATGCCTTCCTGGTTCTTATATATCCCTACTAACTTTTTCTCCTGCGGCTGGAGTAATAGTACAGCATGTAGGACTTGCATGCGTTCAACATGGCCAACTTGAGTTTGATTCCTCCGCACCTCTCCGAGAGCCCGGCAAGCTACCGAGAGTATCTCACCTGCCCGGCAAAGCCTGGCAAGCTACCTGTGACATATTCAATATGCCAAACACAATAACAACTCACAGTGTTACTGGGCCCGCTTGAGAAAATCGATGGATAACGGGAGGACAGTGACAGTGACAGTCTTCAATCCTTAACTAATTCCCATGTGTGACTGCCTCTTCTAAAAACACTACCAGTCTATTTGAATACTCAAGAATGCAAAACCTAATGAATAATGTAACATTGTTTGTTATAAAATTCAACTGCTGAATTCCAATATACCTTAAACACCTCTAATTATTCCTATGTTGATAAAATCTAACCAAGTACCTTGAATGAAATAATGAAATATGCAAGATACTGTAAGATTATCTATGCCCATAAGTCAGGTAAGTGCAGGACTCCTGTCTCTAAAATCCTTCGCAAAAAATAGTCAGCCCGCAATGGAGCCCTGTTCTGCTCTGGGATTCTCACAGTTTTCCAAAGTAACATAAGTAAATCTATCTATCAATAAATGATAAACTAAATTAAAAACAAATTACAAGGGAAGGAGGCATGTCAAAAGATAGCAAAGCAGGTAAAGCATTCGCCCTGATCGTGGTCTACTTGAATTTAATTCCTGGCATAGCATATGATCTTCCAAACTCTATCAGAACTGATCCCTGGAGTGTAAAGCCAGAAGTAAGATTTAGCACTGATAATTGTGCCCCCCCAAAAAAACAAATAAAAATTGGGAGTTGTTTCCTACTCAGTACTTAGGAGTTCCATGGATCTTTCCCAGCGAGGTGGCTAAGGAGGCACTGGTTGAATCGAAGGACTAGAGGATGCAGTACACTCAGGCCTTGTGGTACTGTGGATTACCAGATTAAACGGGTGGCACTTATTGGCCACCTGGTGCTGTGGATTACCAGATTACACAGCTGACACTTAAGGGCCACCAAGGTCACACCCCATATTATATTTCTCTTGCCAATCAGGCATTTTTTTTAATTTTAAAAGAACTTTTGTTTTAATTATAAATATGGTGATTTTGTGCATTGGACTCATGGATACTCCCCATGTCAACTATTCAAATCAGAAAGGCATTAAAAGTACTCCTTAGAGCACCACGCCCTCTAGACATTTTCTTTTCCAGCCTGACTCCCTCTGAATTTTTTGTTAGGTTCTGGTGACTTTTTTTTAGACATTTTACCATCACACATCCCTTAGCAAAACACACCCAGCATTGTTCATGGCCCTTTTCCATCGTGTCTCCTTAACTAATAGCACAGTGTCCCAGATATGGGCAGGGAAGTATTACAGAGAGTACTCTGTAACATGGCTTTATCTCAGAAAGATAAGCATTGCTCTCAATAATTCAAAGTTACAATTATTTTATTGGCATCCATAATTTTATATAGTATATATGAATAAAATTGATTTTATTTGTGTATACTAGCAATTTATATTATTAAGGTGATATTTTACAAAAAAAAACCCAGATTTAACACTAAAGCATTGTTAAGAAGATGAGTAGCTTTCTATTATTG